CCACTGCCTCCAGGGCTCCCTGCCTGCACATACATTTCAACTCCTTGCCTTTGCCTTATTCCACCTGCTGACCAGGATGAAAATGATAGCCTGAGCCAAAGACAGTAAAAGAACTGACCATGTCAATGAGCTTGGCAAAGAGACCAGCCTAGCTGTTCTCAGGAAGCAGGAGGGGGAAGCCTCTATCATCTACCTTTTGTGAAATTCTCAAAGGCAGAACCATCCTAAGGACAAGCCTAACACCAGAGCCAGGCTCCTTCTCCCACCCTACTGCAGACTTAGGGACAAGGAGTTTTAAAACAAGCTTTTCTCTTTGGGCACAAATGGAGCTACTCATATCAGTAGATACACAAAGTCCTGCTGTTCAGTCTCTTACACAGAAAATTCACTTTGTGACGAGAGCAAATACCCTTCCATCTATGAGACAAAACAAAATATAATTTAGTCCTTGATATAGCACATATGCTAGTAATAGTTCATATCTGTTGTACATTTATTAAGAGCTAGGTACTCTTCTAAGCACAAACACCTTGTGGGATTAATCGCATTATTTCATCTTTACAGATGGGAAACTGAGGTGGGTGCAGAGAAGTAAAGAAACTCAAAGTCATACAGCTAGTTAGTGGTATAAGCAGTAACTAAACATTAGCAATCTGACTTATAGTCAATTAAGCAATACTCACTGAAAACAAATTTACCATTTCTCATAGACACCAGCCTTAGAGTCTCAGGAAAAGAATCTGGGGGAAATTATTCTAAGTCTCTGGCCCAGGCATAAAAACAGACCACAGCTGTGTCTCAAGAATGTGCCCTTTGGCAAAGGCATCTTTCTACCATATGTGAGCTTAGGGCAATTAGTTTTCATTTGTCTTCAAATTCTGTTTCTTTGTGTCTAACATACACTAACCAGGCTAATCTTTCTCTTCCTGTCATCTCAGCAAGGAGACTTTTCTGACACATTTAGCCCCAATATCTGCTGAGTTCCACGTGGTAAGAAAATGACTTGTAATTTGGGTAGGAACCAAAATTTTTCAATTTTTGCTGTGTAAAACATTTTGATAAGATCCCAGTTGCTGATTCTTTGCGATAGTTCCTATGTGACTGGGGTTTTGTTCGTAAAGTATTTGCCTATACCAATGTCTTCAGGAATTCTATCTAGTCTATCTTCCAGCACATTTAGTGTTTCTGCTTTAATATTTAGATCTTTGATCCATTTTTATTTTAGTTTAGTTCAGGGTGAAAGATATAGGTCTAGTTTTAATCTTCTAGTGTAATAAACGATGCTGGAAAAACTGGCTTTCTACATGCCAAACAAACAACATATTTTCATCCACCAATGATCCTCTTTCCTTTCTTTTTTTGCCATCTTCACCCTCAACTTGCCTAAACTTCAAACTCAGTATCAGATTCAAATGAACTATCTAATATCCTCACCAAGGGCACCGAGCTCCAGAACAATGCTTCCAGCTTCCACTGAGCAACTTTTTTTTGAAACGGTAGCAGCAAAGAATTTTGAAGACTGCCACTGCTCAGCTCGAGAAATAGATGCTATGAGGACTACAGGGCCTCATTCTATCCACAAAACACAATTTCTTTTTGGCGGGGCGGGGGGTGCGGTGGGGGGGCGCTGTTTCCGGTACCAGGAATCAAACTCATGACCTCGCGCTTGCCAGGTAGGCGCTGTGCCGCTGAGCTAAATCCCCAGCCCCTCATAAGGCACAATTTCTGTATCAATACTGAGAATGGCTCCCTAGTCAACATGGGAAGTCCATGTTACAATCTACGTGGGTTCTCAGCAATGTAGTGTATGAACTGCTTAACCAGACTTTCCTGGAGCTCAAAGCTATTTTGAAGCAGTTCAGGAAATAGATGTGGTTTTGGTGAGAAATTATATAATTCAAAATTCTGTGGCTTAAAACATCAGCAAAAGTTCTGGAGAGAGAGAGAGAGATTAGCCTATGTTTCATCTCAGTACATACATCATAAATTATAATTTATAAATATAAACATACATTATAATTTATATAGCTGTCTTCTGAGAACAAAAAACTCTTTCTAAAGTTGATTTCAAATAGGCACTTTTTAAAATGAAGCTTCCTAGTTTCCTGCAATCTATGATGCTCATTTAAAAAAATATAAAATGACAAAACACGAAAGCATTGTCAGGTCTACAAAGAAAGCTATAGTACCTCTTTCTCTGAATATTCTAGAATCCAAATCAGCTAACTTCTTCTGCAAAGGGATAGATGATAAATACTTTGGACTTTGAAGGCTACGTCTAGTTTCCATCACATATTTTACATATTCTTCTCTGTTTTCTTAAAACTTTTGACAATATAAAAACCATTCCTGGCTCAGATATGCAAAAACAGCCACCTAGTCACATGTAACCCACGTGCTGGAGTGCGCTGACCTTTATTCTCACAACACAGCTAGACTGAGTACCTTTCTGGACATGACTCATTACAGGGAAATAAACCTCCACTCTACCTTTTCTATCAGCTCTATAATTCGATAGAGTTCAAAAAGATAAATCTACACAATTTTCAAAGTTCTATCATTAAATCATCACTAGGCATTTCCATGTGTGACCAAACAATTTCAGCATAGTAAAGACGTAGAGTCTTAATGTTTAGTGTCCTATACTGCAAAGTCACCCTGGTGACCCAGAGCAAATTCCTTACCTCTGAAATCTCTTTGATCAAATTTTTAAAAAATTCAGACATTTGTATTTGCATTCGATGATCTCTAATGAAGCTTACAGTGCAGTTTCTCCAAGGTTCCATTAGTGGCCCTAGAAAACTCCAGAAGTCTGCTGAAGGAAATGTTCCCAAGTGATCTGCACTGTATTAGGAAATAGTGGATAATGGTCACCCTCCCCGGAGATTTTCGGAAGAGCAAATCATCCTTATTTTGTGTTGATTGAATCTCCCATCACAGAGACAACATTCCAGTGGCTTTGACTAAATGAATAGTCCAGAAAAAAAAAAAAAAAAAAAAGACTATGGATTCGTGAGACTCATCCTCAGAAATAAAAGATGCAGGTTTTCAGTGGTCTTCTTAGGAAGGAACCAGGAACTGTAGTCCAGTAACAAAAGTCTATGACATTTTTTGACTCTGCCATATTTTTTATCTTTGTGATCTTCAAAGCTACTAGCAGCACAGGCAAATTAACAGACATCCTTCTGATCCCAAATTTTAGACCATTATGATTCCTCAAAGCCATAAAACGTTGGGCTAAGCCAAACATGAATTATGTGGAAGTGGGTCTGCTATATGCAGTACTACTTGTAGACTCATGTTTTATGAATAGCATCATTTTCTTCAACTTGAAAACCAAGTGTTTACTTTCTGTGTCTTTCTACTCAGTGGAGCACAGTCAATGGTAAACACATAGAGGTTCATTGATTTACCAGAACTCCATTTAGAACTCAGCCCAACTGCCTGAGACTCACATTAAGTAGGATTAATAAGATATTTCCCATCCTGCCCAGTCAGAAACACTTGGTCCTCCTCAGATTTCCCTACTTAGTCAAGCTGCCTAAAGATAAATGAGCTTTATACTACGGAAAGGAAACAGGTCATTTATCTGACATCACATTATTTACTGACATTAAAAATGATAATATCCATCAACAAACAGCCAAGCCCCAAGTGGGTCACACTGAGAACAAAGGTACAACTGTCTTTCTTTGATATAGTTACAAGGACATGCTGACTGAGCCGCCATTTTTGTTCCAATAATGTCACCATTGTTACAAGAAGTTCATAGTTTAATGATATCTACATAATTTCTCATGTATTTGTTTTTTGTCTTTTTGAGACAGGGTCTCTCTATGCAGTTCAGAATGGCCTTGAGCTCACTTTGTAGCCCAGACTGGTCTCAAATTCACAACAATCCTCCTGCCTCAGCCTCCTGAGTGCTGAGATTACAGGTCTGCACCACCACACCCAGCTTCACGCATTTGTTTGAGACCAGAGACAAGGTATCTGTATTTTCTGCTTTTATGAGCTATCTTAAAACTAAAACCTGGAATTATAACAACAGAACTATGCACATGATTTGCTCGCATGCAGGGGTAGGGTGCTGTTCTCATTTAAAAAAATCTTACCCTTTCTCTTATTTTTTAAAAAATAATGTCATTATCTCTAATTTTCATAGCAATCCAACAAAGCATGTATTTTTATTTGAATTTGAGAGTCAGGGGCCTGTTAAATAAATTGCCCAAATTCACAGGGCCTTTCAACAGTAGATTAAAAAATGGAAACTACCAGCTCTTCCGACTCTGGAGCAATCTAGCCCCTTCTTTCTCTGCTTACTTCTGCCTACATCGGCACCTACATATCCACCTACCTACCCTACTAAACAAACACCTACCTACCTACATAATTAATGATATCTACATAATTTACCTACCTACCTACCCTTCTGCCTACATCGGCACCTACATATCCACCTACCTACCCTACTAAACAAACAAAAGCTCTGTTCCAAGAAAAGCAGTTTATTGAAATCAGCTTCCTACAATGATTTAATCCCAACCAAAACTAAAACCACAACACCAAATAACTTCACAAAACCCAAGGATACACAAAAAACATGTACAGGATTGACTCGCCTTTGGGGTGATTACTTTCAACTCAAGGAAAACCACATGTAATTGGCAGGAATAACCTGTCAGCTGGGGTTATTCCGAAGTAAAGCCTAAGTGCCAGTGAACAAAGACTATAAATATAGCTGTTGTAGAATATTGTTTTACACCAGAAAAAAAAGTCAGCTCTATGAAAAGTGAGCTAAAGCTCAACCACTGTTAAAAACAGAGCTCACTGGGATCTGATTCCCTTCCTGCTGTATCCACAGAGTAAAATCAGAATAAGCAATGGCTCTTCTTTTGGTTACACTTTCGTAGGCACCACCTCTGGTCCTATCTCAGTCCCCTCTATCGTTCCATGTCCTGTTATCTTTTTTTTTTTTTTTTTTTTGCAGTACTGGGGATCTAACTCACGACCATACGTTTGCCAGGCAGGCGCTCATGCCACTGAGCTGTATCCCCAGCCCCTCCATGTCCTGTTAAAAGACAGGGTAGGAGGCCAGCTGGACCCTTAGATCCTTGGCCTCTCAGTGACTCCTTCATCATTTGTCTTCGTCCTTCATCTCATATATTTTAGTTTATCTCAGACTGTGTCTTTCCAATATGGAGCAGCCTGGTAGGAAAAGAAAATATTTCGTACAATAATTTATTTGCCAAGATGGCTCCAAACAATTGATTTCACGAGTTTTGTTTGTTTGTTTGTTTCTCAGAACCATCCAAACTGATGACAGTGCAGACGTTTCTGATGCAGAGAAAGCAGCCTGGCTTCAGCACATGACCAGCATTCTCATTTCCCACCAGCGAATGGATCTTGGCTCCGCAGCTACATTCTGATCAGGATGAATGACATGTATAATTCAAAAATCAAGAAAACTGCTCAAGTACAACGGGTGAGGCTTCTGCCAAAGTTGAAAATTATTAGGAACTGTGATTTTGGCTGAGCACACAGCTCTGTTTTGAACTCTTTTATTTCTGTGTTACTGCTCATTCACTTAAAGAGAAACATGAGTCAGAGACAAGATCTCTTTCCCTTTTCATGTTTCACCAATTTATCTTCCTTGGCATAATAAATTTCGCAAGCCAAAGAGTTGAGAGTGTTGTCTCGTTCTCCTCTGTTTTTCCCATTATCTCAGTTATCTCTCATTTATTTTTTAGTCTTTGCGCTTATCGTACAATTCTCGGGCCATCATAAAGTTGGAATGAGTAACCTCCCACCCTTTGTGATTGCTTGCGAGTGTTTCAGACCCCATCCTCTCAATCACGTGGCTCTGGTGCTTCAGCATATTTGAGAAAACCCAGAAATATAAGCTACACCTCAACCAGAGCTGACTGCACTACTGCAGGGGACTTTTGACATATAAAAATCTCTCTGTGCATGAGGTGTTCTATGCTAAGCAAATGTTAAGTAAAATCTGCATATGTACTGTTGCTTCTCTGGGCAACAGGAAGACTCCAACCAATCACAGTCTCAGTTTGATGCACTGTAAACAGCACTGGACAAGAAGTCTTAGGTCTCGAACTTTATTTTTTAAAGGCCAATTTTAGAAATGTATTTCAGGCAAGAATCTCAAGAAATTCGTATTTATAATTACAGATTATAGTATCGTGAGCCTTCAGGTATCCATGAATCAATACCCATCTAACCTTGTATCTGTGGTGTCCATCCATATCCTCTCCTCTCCCCCCAAGGAGATAGCTTTTGGTATAACCACTGACATCAGGTAATTTCTGCCTAACATACTCACAGGTATTTCTAAGAGAGAAGGGCTTCGGTACTTAAAAAATATAATCACACGGCATTATCATGTCTAAAATACTTGAACTTCCTGACCTTAAATATTCAGCCAGTGTTCACATTTCCCTGTTCATCCCATAACATATTTTTAAACATTATTAGAGATTTTAGTCTTTGTGAAAATATTTAAAACCCAGAAAGTATACAAGATAGAGTGATATACATGAATACACCACCCTAACATTTTTTAATGCTTGCCTCAGATTTCTCTCTCTCTCTCTCTCTCTAAGATTTTACTTCCTAAGGCAGCTTCAGGTTCACAGCGAAATCATGAGGAGCAGATATTTTGTATATGCTCGTGCCCTCAAGAACAGCCTCTCCCGTTATCAGTGTAGCCCACCAAAGTGGTATACTTGTTACAGTTGATGAGCATACACCGAAACATTGTCATCTAATATCCTTGGTTTACATTAGGAATCACTTTTAGTGTTGTCCATTCTGTGGCTTTGGACACATGTATGACATGCATCAGTCATTACGCTATTATATTTACTCCTCTAAAAATCCTTTGTGCTCTGACTATTCATCTCTTCTTTTCCCTTTGCCCTTGGCAACCACTTAACTTCTGACTATCTAGTTTTGGTTTTCCCAGAATGGGATATTGTTGGAATCAGACAATGTGCAATCTTCTGAAACTAGTTTCTTTCACTTGGCAGTCTGCATTTACATCTCCTCCACATCTTTTCATGGTTTGACATTTCACTTCTCAGTACTGCTAAATAACATCCTTTGTCAGAATGTACCACAATATATTTATCCACTCCCCTACTGAAGGACATCTTGGTTTCTTCTTGGTTTGGGTAATTATGAGTAAAATTGCTATAAGCATCCATGGACAGGTTTCCATGTAGACTTAGTATTTAAGTTATTTTGATCACTACCAAGAAATGCTAATTCTTCACTGTATGGTAAGAGTCATGTTTCCTGTCCTAAGAAACCATCAAACTGTCTTCCATAGCGGCTGTAATATTTTTTATTGCCACCAACAGTGAATAAGAGCTCCTACTGCTCCACATCTTCACTGGCATTTAGTGTGGTCAGTGCTCTGAATTTTGGTGATTCTAATAGTTATGTAGTGATATCTTTGTGTTTTAATTTACATTTCCCTGATAACATAAGATAGGAAACTGATGAAGATTTTTTAACTTGATTTTTACAAAATAGGACCCAAACATAGCCAAAATACCAAATCTCATTCTTGCTATAAGTTTCCTCTTTTTGAAAGTATGACAAACACATGGTTGTTTCATTTCAGTATGTTTTTCCCAATTAAAAATGAAGTACATCAATTAATTTTTAAAGTTTATAACACATCTTTCCAGAAGTAAGATTTTTATAAGTGATCTAATATTGTGTATAATCTATTGACATGTGACTTTGAGTTCTATTTTATTTGATCTACTTTAACTGTCTAGAATTTCATTTCATGAATAAATTGTATTTTACCTAATTTCCTATTATTAGACATTTATTTATTTCCAATACTTTACTACTACAAAACAGGGTTATGGTGGATATCTGTATAAATGTCATCTTATGCACATATTCAAGCCTCTTTAGGACACACAGAAACATATACACAATTGTTGGGTTATTATTATTGAGAGTTGTTGGGAGATGTTATTATTGGAAGGTATTATACTTTTAACTTTTAAACATTAAGTGATGGGCCCAGTGTTGTAACTGTACTTTAATAGATAAGAATCCAACACAGTGATCTTCAAGATTTCTTGTAGCTCTGATAATCAACAAGTCCATTCATTGAATCAACTTTTTAAAAAATGATTGCATCTTTAAGTAATACTAATGGTGGCATGTTACTTATTTCAACATTCCTAATAATATCTTCTCTTGCTTTTTAGTCTCTTTTTTAAAAAAAACTTTATCCATTTCTATTCTGCAAGACATTGGTTTTAATATGCTAATTAAATCACAAAAGGACATACATCCCCTAGCATTAATTTTGGAGAACTAGAATAGATGCTTAAAAATATAACGCAAGGTGATAGCAGATAAACCATTAGGAGAGTCCTGACCTGCCATGAGTATGTAGAAAGGGAGAAGTCACTGAGGTGAGTTGGGAAGGCATTATCCAGGGAAGCAAGGATAAAGTTTAGCAGGAAAAAAACCAAAAAGGGGGCAGGAAAAGACAAAGAGACAAAGAACAGGTTAAGTGGTTTGTTCAAAGTACACTCAGTAAGAAAGTCCCAGAACATAAGATCCACATGGAGGATCAGTGACAGATGAAGCTATAGATCGCCTATGTGGGCTCTAAGAATTCCAGCTGACACTGTGTCATGTCAGGGCTATTGTGGAGAAGTTTAACCAATTGCCCATCATGTTCCTCTAATACTGGAAGTCAGAGGGGCCACTCAGAGGCCCCTCAGTCTGTGATTGGTCTCTGAATGTTGTTTTCAGCAACCTGACTCCCTGTCCAAGTCTATCAGAAGGACAGATCATGTGTTCATAGAGGACAAGTCCCCAGTCACCCTCTTTTTCCTGTCTTTGATGTCATTGTTTCCAAAAGACACTGAAGAAACGATGAAACCTCAATATCCACAGCTGGGTCTAATTCACAAAGGAAATTGTTTTGTTCATGGAAGTGAAATGCCTAACTGTGAGTTCCCATCAGGCCTGAGCTTGTTGTAAGGTCTTACCTTGGGCCCCAACACGATGCCCTGCAGGGCTTCTGAGCCCTTGGAGTGAGCTGACCCAGTGCTTCCTGGAAGAAGCAGCTGAAATGGTAAGCCAACAGGCCCCACTCTCCTAGACAAAGTGACATGGACACTTTCAAGGGGCCAGAGATTGTTGGGTGGAAGCATTTATAGCACTCAAATTCTCTTCCTGACTGGCTAAGTTACTTTCTTCCAGCACAGATGAAGAAACTACTTTATTTTCTGTTAAAGGAAGCCCTCCCAGGTGAACCACATACAACATTAATCACTCTTTGGCTTTAATAACACAATTCTATAACAGACTTGGCTTACAATTATCCCCTAATTGCAATAATTGGACAGTTTAGCTACATTATAAATTTTTGAGAGCAGAAACACTTTCTATTTCTAGCTACTTCCAGGACTCCATAGTCAATGACTCTGTTTCCATTGAAAGTTGATTTAACCTTGTAAAACATAATGGTCAGGGTAGAGTGGGCCATGCTACAGTAATAAGGAATCCACACATTTGAGCACTGGAACATAAGCAGTAGCTTGAACAGTATGATCTGTGTGTCTAAGTGACTGTCCAGAGCAGATAGTAATCTAGGGACTTTGACATTGTGCCTCCACATCCCAAAGCTCAAGGTATCCTCTAAGACAGCCTCAGCTGGGATGAAAGGTAACTGGAAAGTTCTACAGGGGCTTTTGACTTCTCAGCACTAAAAGCAAAGGAAGACTAAATGTTGGTGACAAAGGCAGTGTTTGCCATTCTATTACAGCTTCTCTGCAATCCAGCTCTCCGGTAAGTGGCACTCTGCCCTTAGGGAGAATAAGCAATGGTCTCTTTTCTTAGGTTGTGGAACCACATCCTCTGATGACCTTTAAAGAGACAAGGTGGGAGATTTCAAACATGTCTATTCCATCGTAGATTTGGGGATACTGCTAGGAAACTAAAGGTATCCCACAGCGACATATTACTGAAACAGTTCCTGAGTCTGACCATGCTTCTTTTCTTTATAAAATAACTAAAGGCTTAGACCTCATCAAGGTAAGACCTATGAGCTAGTCAAGCCTAAGGGATATTGGCTGTAGGGGCTGGAGTAATGTCAGGTATCTACTCTTAGATAAGGATAATTTCCATATTGTATTACTGTGATTTAATGTTTTTCATTTATTTAACAAAATATGAATATTCAAAACAGACTGATGGTTGTTCCCAATGCCTATTCTCTCATTCTTTGTTTGTAAAAGCATCGACAGATTTTCCATCAGAACACCCAACAAGGTGCAGTCATATGACTAAGTTATACACACTGTACGAGAGCAGAAGTGATATTTTTCAACTGCTGCACAGTGTCTGTAAAGGGAATAACCATGTTCTCTGTCTCTTTTTACATTTTTACATAATTTAAAACCACCACAAGATGTAGCGGGGGGTGAGTCTCCTTTACCACAATAGCTGTAAGTGTAGCCAGGAAGGAAGCATAAGGAGCTTGTTCCCTTGCTTATGGATGGACTGTTGAGTGAAAGAGAAATGAAGCTCTGGCTTGTTGATACTGAAGATATATCCTACTTAATTCAATATTAAGTAAGAAACTTCCAGGTGCCAGGAATTATAACACAGATAAGAGCCTGATCAT